TACAGCAAGAGCCTTGGTCTTTGCCAAAGCCCCACGGAAAGCATTTTGAGTTCTTTCTGTTTAAGTATTCAATATAAGAGTATTTGCCCTGTCTAACCCCAATTGAGGCTCTGTTCAAATGCAGGCACAGTTATACTTTAGAGCTCTTTCTCACCAAGTCTTCCTTTCTTATTAATTTCAATAAATATTCACTGACCCAAAACTCTGCTAAACCCATGGGGGAACACAGAAGTTTTTAAAACTGGGGTCTTGTTCTCTAGTGTAAGTTAAGTGAAATAATATGCAAATTCTTATTTCTGGTATTTGAAGTAGCACTTGGGGCTGGAGAGGTCATGGCAGTCAGCCTGTTAACCTTGTCAGTTGTCAATCCCAAAACAGAAAGACAGAAAGACAGACAGACCTCTCTTTTTTCTTTTTAATGTTTGTTTATTTTTGAGAGAGAGAGAGAGAGAGAGAGAGCGAGAGAGAGAGCACATGCAGAAGCAGGGGAGGGGCTGAGAGAGAGGAAGACACAGAATCTGAAGCAGGATCCAGGCTGTCAGCACAGAGCCCGACACAGGGCTTAAACTCATGAGCCATGAAATCATGACCTGATCCAAAGTCAGACACTTAACCAACTGAGCCACCCAGGCGCCCCAGGACAGATCTCTTGGAGAAGTCTTCCTTAAAGCAAGGTTACACAGCTGTAGGTATGTTTGAAATCTATGGCATCCCACTGAAATCACTTTTCAAATGCACTTTGTGTTTATGTTTGGACAGTCTGCAATTATTAAAACATCTGAAATTGATTTGAATGCTGGTATGGCTTAACAAACACTTATCTTTCTCATATTTTCCTAAGGATTTATGTCCCCTGGACCAAGTTGTATATTATAAGAGAAATGTGCCATAAAATAAATAAAACAATTATCACTTACTAGATAATTCATATATTGACCTTATGTTTGTTTTGAGCTTTGGGCCTTAGTTCTTAGGAGCTTTTTATATGTCAGAAAATTAGCCTTTTGTTTGATCTCAGTTGTAAATTTTTTTCACATTTGTCATTAATTGTCTGACTGTGCTTACGGTAATTTTTGTGAGGTTGAAATATTTTTAAGTATTAAAATTTATTTACATTTCTTTTGGACTTCTGATTTGTCTTTCCATACTTAGCAAGGACTGCTGCAGTCCAAGATTATAAGGAAAATTTCCCATAATTTCTTCTAATACTTATGGTTTAATATTTTATATATATAAATATATTATATATATACTTTAATGTTTGTTTCTTTTGAGAGAGAGAAAGCATGATTCGGGGAGGGGCAGAGAGAGAGGAAGAGAGAGACTCCCAAGTAGGTTCTGCGCTAATCAATCTGGGGCTTGATCTCATGAACTGTGAGCTGAAATCAAGAGTTGGACACTTGACTGGCTGAGTCACCCAGGCGTCCCGAATATTTTATATTTAAATCTGATACATTTAGGATCTGTACTGCTCTAAGGTATGATGTATGCCTCAAACTTTTTTCCTAAACGACTACTTAGCTCAATAACCTATGATGAGTAAACCATTTTTCTGCCCAACTCCTAACCAAGACTAGGACTATCTAGAATTGTTTTATTTTGGGAATAATCCATGAAAAAATAAGAAATCTCCTTTTCTATGTGTGTTACAAAAAATCTAGATTCACTCTTGCTCTGATTAAGCATTCGTGTGGTAGCCCTATGATAAAAGTAACATTTTCCTCCATTTACAGAGTAGGAAACTCACTGAACCAGAGAGAAACTGAAAACTTGCTCAAAATCATAGCATTAGTAAGTGATTGAATCCAAGCTATTAATCACTATGATACAGCCCAACTTAAAGACATATCAAACGATGCTGTGTTCATTGCAGTTATTCATGGCTTCTGTAAAGTGGGGATAACAAACTTACCTGTGTGCATGGATTGCTCTGGAGATTAATCATTCAGGCCATGTTCATACCAAGCACTCAGTGCTAGCTATTTATATTCATTTAATGATTTAGGGCTTCTGTAGCTCAGAGCCCTATATTTCTATACCACCAAACAGTGAGACCTAAATCTAGGTGTGAATCTCAAACTAACAGCCATCTTCTCTGAGTCTCCTCTGCATCTGCAAAATGGGCTCGGTGGCCATACTTACTCATAAATATTATTTTAAAGATTAAATGAGATAAAATATGGAAATGGCCCCACCCAACACTCTCCTGCATGTTCTGCCTTGCAAGCCTACAGACTTTCTATGTTGCTGATCACCTTCCTCAGATAATCAAAGCAGGAAAACCATTCAGTCTTGAATGGGCAGCTAAGAATTGCAAACAGTTCAACCTTAGACTTAGTCAATAAGAAAATCTTACCTACATCTGTCTACTGTACCCCATAGTCATGGTGTCTGGCAGGAAACTGGGCTGAGTGGGTACTGGCCTCAAAACAGACCCCAGAGACCAATACTCTAATTGGCATGGATTTCCCTCCCCTGAGGAGGGACATATGCCTCTTCCTTCTGCCATGGGCTGCTTCTCTTCCAAGATACTGCTGCTTTTCCCCTTCTGGTCTCTGGAGCCAAATGAACTGGCTGGTGAGGCCAGTTTATACTCTAAATGACACCTCAACTTTCCTCTTTTACCAGCAGCCTTGGGTCTCCCTTCCTGCCTCTTTCCATAAAGGTCAGCTCCAATTTCTGCCTGACAGTTTGGACTCCAGGTGATGCTGGCCTCCCGTTCCCCATTAAACTGGAGAATCCCTAGGTTTCTCTGCAAATTCCTGGTTTCTGCTGGTTCACTGCATCTTGTACAGAGACCTTACAGCACTTGACAAATTAAGTCCAATGCCAACAAGCACCAAGGCAAGTTTCACTTCCTTTTACCAACACTCAAAGGGCAAATGACTTGTCTCAGAACCAATATTGAATACAGGGGCCCAGACATGATTATAGTCTAACATTTATCAAGCATAAGCTCCTGAACTAAATCTTTATATTCCCTCTTTTACTGAATTCTCACAGTAACTGTGTGAGGGGTGTGGGTGTGGCTGGGCAGGTGGCAGGTGGCAGGTGAAGGCCTCAGTGGCCCATGCTCATCACAGACACAGGATACTTTCCAATAGCCTTGGGAGGGCACTGTGCTGGGGAAGAGTGGCTGGGAATCCACCTGGATGAACTAGACATTGTTAGGAAGATAACATGGGGAGAGAGGTTCACAGAGCAAGATCAGGGTTTAGGAGCATCAAGTATAAATTTACTCGTCTTTCTGTCCACCTGGGGTTGTCTGGTTTAAAATCTATCTTGGTGAAGGACTGTTTGTTTTGTCTGGGTGGCTCATTTTTGTCTGTCCAGCTGGAGATCTCTCTGGCTCACAGAGTGTCTACCTGCCTAGTTGGAGATCTGTCTGGCTGCAATCCTTCTGGCTGAGGGTCTGTGGTTGTGTCTAGCCAGGGGTCTTCCTGAGGATCTTGTGAAGTTGAGATTCAGTCTGTCTGGAGTTCATTTATCCAGCTATCTACTTGGAGGTTTATCAGCTGATCTGGCTACACACTGATCTGTCAGTCTAGGGTCAGTCCATCTGTCTGTGAGGCTAGATGTCTGTCTCACTAGCCATAGATTTGTGCCAAACTGGTGCATCTGGCATCCAGTTCAATGGCTGGGGTCTGTCTGGCTAGGGGTCTATGTGAACAGCTCAGAATCAGCCTGGTTTGGGGTCTTTCTGTCTGACTAGGATCTGTCTAAATAGGGTCTGACTTGTTGGGGGTCCATTCATCTCTCCAGATGGGGGTCCATCTGTTCCTCTGGTTTGGGTTCTATCTGTCCAGCTTGGCTTGGGGGTCCGTTTATCTCTGACTGGGCATAGTGTCTCACTGTCTGGCTGGGGTCATCTGTCATGTGTCTAATTAGAAGTTCATCCATCCAATGGGGCCCTATCGGCTAGCAGGGATCTAGCCTATTCAAAGGACCCGCTGATTTGCAACGTACACCCAGCTGGTAGATGGTCTGGACAGTGGGCCATCTGTCTAGCTTAGGATGCTTATCTACCTGAGGGTCCGTCTACTTTTCTGGCCTGTTGACTGCTTGGGGATCTACCTGGCAGTCTTCCCAGATGGTGGTGCATCAATCTGTCTGCTAAATTGTGGGCTTGTGGAATTGATGAGTTGGTGGGGACTAACCACCTGTCTAGAAGTCCACTTATCTGCCTGGTTGGAAGGCTGTCTGGCTGGTTGGGGTGTCTGTACAATCAAGGGTCTATCTGGCTGGCTAGGAGTCCATCTGGCTACTTGGGAGTCTGTTTGACTAGGTCTGTCAGTCTGCCCACTTGGTGGTGGGTCTGTCTAGCTGAGAGGATGTCTGTGTGTCTGTTCATCTAAGGATTTGCTTATGTCTGTCTGGGAGTCTGTCCACCTAGAGGTCCATCTGACTGGTATCTGGCTAGCTGCCTATCTGGGAGAGGGGTCTTTTTGATGGTTTCTCTTGCTGGGTGTGATCTGTCAAGGTGTTAGTTTATTAATCTGACTGGAGGTCCATCCAACCGGCTGTGGACTGTCCTCTGAAATCTGGCTGTCTAGGTGTATGGTTATGTATTTGTCCTGATTGGGGGCCCATCTGACTGTGTAACCCATCTGGGGATTTTTTACCTGTCTGAAATCAGTCTGCTTGGTTATTATGCCTGGTGTGGATCCGTCCAAATGGTGGGGGGGGGGGGCAGGGAGGAGCAGCCAGCAGTCCTTTTTAGGGCCCACCCATTTCTCTGTGTCCAGCTGAATGTCTGAGCGAGGGAGACTCAGATACTGAGATGAACTAGTCCATTATGTGGTGATAGGGGCAGTTTCCAGAAGCCCATCTGTCCATCTTCTCTTTCACACCTGGGGGAACTTGCCTAGTACCCTGGGGTTGGGCCCATCCTGATGTTTATTATTGAATCTGTTCAGTGTGGTCTCACTAGCCATTATCTCCCAGCTACCTCCCCCAGCCTCAGGCCCTGAATGCTATAATCACTGGGGCAAAGCCCCATATTTCCACCCTGAGAAACTTTTATTTTGATCCAGGACCATCATTCCCATTCCCAACACTTCACACAGCAGAGAATGGCCGTCAGCAGTCCAGGTGCCCATGTGGGGCAACAGGCAGGCAGGGGTGCAGCACTCACACCTGGGTCCACTCAGCAGGGGGGTCCCGGGGCCCTTTAGGCCTTCCAATGCGCAGGTTGAAGCCTGGAAGAAGGGCACCGTGGGTTTCGTGGAGAAGCTGAGGTGTGGACACGTGTGGAAGGTCATCCTCAAGCTTTCAGGCCCTTGTGATTTACTGCAGCCACATCCACAGGACTCGGAGAGTGGGAGCCCCATGCCACTATCGCTAAACCCCCAACACCTGGTTTTCAGTCCAAGCTGCGGTATCCCAGCAACCCAGGCTTTGACTTACCTAGCCCACCGGTCTGAGCTCCATCCACCACGTCCTCGTAGGCGTCAGGCCCAGCGGGGCTTTGGTCAGCCAGAACTGTGGGCAGAAAACCACCCCCCACCCCCACGGATCGATTCAGGCAGCCCCGTGGAGCTCTGGAACCCACCCGGGGCAGAGCCTCATCCTCCAAGCTCCCAGGGGTTGGGGGTGGGGGCCTGGGGGCCGGCGCGGTAGGGGCGGGGCCAAAGGCCACCTCCGTCCGGACGAGCTGGTGTCGCCAGAGAAACGGACCCAGACTTAGGGCCACGGCTAGGCCTGGGGCACTTCCGGCCGAGCCGGGGCGGGCAACAGTCCCAGAGGCGCGGCCGGAGAGGCACCGACGTCAGCCTTGGCCGTGACCAGGCCGGCCTTAGGGGCGGGGGGTCCTCGAGGCCGCGGGGCCCTCCACACCGGCCACACGCCGTCTGGCGCAGGAGCTGGCGGGCGCCGGCCCTCCCGGCCCACACCCCGGCGGCCCGGACTCACCGCGCCCGGGCGGCGCCCCCTGCGCCTCCTCTGCGCGCGCCTGCGGCCTCCGGGCGCGCGGCAGCACCTGGCTGTAGAGCGGCGCCTCCTCCGCGCCGCGCCCCCGCGCCCCCGCCTCGGGCCCCGGGGGCGCCCTGCGCTTCTGCACCACCGCGTACGTGTCCGTGTCGGCCATAGCGGGAGCCGGGGACCCGGGCGCCGAGATGCTCCTGCGGGCGGGGCGGGCGGGGAGGAAGTGAAGACGCCGAGCCCGAGGAAGGAGGGGGTGGGGGCCGCTCGCGGCGCGCAAACCGCCCGCTTCCTTCCCGCCCGAGGCTGCTGGCGGGTCGGGAGAGGGGGAGCGGGCGGGTTTCCGTGGCGAGAGGGAGGGGCCTCTGGGTGAGGGGCGTCTCGCTGTGCGTCCGGAGGGCCCCGCTAGTTTGGTGGATGGAGGGAAGGGGCCAGCCTGGCGGGTGGAGGGCGCAGCGTATTGGTATTGCGGGGTGGTCCTGTCGTGCAGATGTTTGAATAAAGGAATGAGGAAGTGGCATGTAAAGGGGAGGGAGGGACGGCCTCAAGATGGAGAGCTAGTCTTAAAGAGGAGGGGTGACATCTCTGCTGCAAAGGAAGGTTGGGTCTGTGCCCCCAGCACCTGACACGACGCCTGACAAGTGGGCTGCATCAAGAAATATTTGCTAAGTTAATGACCGGGGAAGCAAGGAAACGGCTAACATTGAGGCGAGCCTTAGAAGCAGAGGCAATGAGATCTCTGGGATCAAAGTGTCGTCTTGGGGCAGGTTCCCAGAGTGCAGGCAAAGAGCGAGTCAGTGAATGTTTGGTAAATTGAACAGCAAGGAAGGGGCCGGTGTTGAAAGGGCGAGGAAAGGGTTACCTTGGGCATGAGAAATTGGAAAGGGAAGAATGAGGAGATAGGGCTGGGTGCCTGAGGACCTCACCAGGCTAATGGCGTGTGGTGGGAAGGATCCGGAAGGAAAGGGCGTCATCATAGAGTGGGGTACAATTCTGGGGAAGGACAGGAGGGGAAGGCTGCGAGGCGTGGAGGAAAGTTGCCAGACCCCTGATGGAAGTCACCACGGACTCTGGGGGGTAAGCTGAGGCGGAGTCTGATAAGGTCACAAGGAGGAGAACAAAGGTAGATATCATAGTCAGTCCCTGCTCCCAGAGGGAGTCCAGGGGCTAGATGCTGCAGTGATGGTGTCCACAGACCTCTGCTCTGGTCCTAGTCTCTGAGGGTGTTTGATGGTGGACAGGAAGACAGTAGGCAGGAGGCCTTGGTACCTCCTTGAAGTTCTGGTAAAGGGGGCTGGAGGTGTGGAGTGCTGAGAAGAACATCTGAACCACCAGGTTCCTATTCCTGTACTCCTCCTCGTGGGGGAAGAGGAATCATCAAAAAGGGAAGACAAGAGGAAGAGGCATGTGTCCTTGAATTGAGGAGACTAAGGCTCTCACCTTTGTCTGCACAGCTACAGGCCGCTGCTTTCTCATCTCCAGGACCACGCTGAAGAGGCTGCAGTTAGGTGGGATCATGTGGAGATAAAGAGGACACATGAGCAGGACCTGGTGGCCATGGGGCCTGCACTGCACCCAAGCACACATGCCCTATTCATACCTGGGTCAAGAGCACCTGTTTAATCCACAGTGCACGGGACACCTGTTCACCCACAACCTGCACTGACAAGCAAGAATAAGAGTAAGCTGGGTCAGGACCTGCCCACAACCCCTCTTGTACGAGGCATTTGGGGTTTTCAGTGAGGGCCCTAACTGGGGATCCCCTGCAGCACATTTTGATTCTCAGAATCCCCCAATTACAATTTAAAAGAAAACACTTTTTAATTGTTTACATTTGTTGAGCATCAACTGTGTGCTTACTCCCCAGCAGGCAGTCGGTGTCCAATAAATGCTAAATTTCAGTTGATGTGGTGTGAGCAGTGTAGCCTCAGGTTTCTCAAGAGGCACTCAGTGCTGATGCATAGGGGCACTTGTACCTCAATGTTTCAACAATAACCAAATTATGGAAAGAACCTAAATGTCCATCACCTGACGAATGGATAAAGAAGTTGTGGTTTATATATACAATGAAATCCTACTTGGTAATGAGAAAGAATGAAATATGGCCTTTTGTAGCACCATGGATGGAACTGGAGAGTGTTATGCTCTCTGTGAAATAAGTCATACAGAGAAAGACAGATAGCATATGTTTTCACTCTTATGTGGATCCTGAGAAACTTAACAGAAGACCATGGGGGAGGGGAAGGGGGGGGGAAGTTAGAGAGGGAGGGAGCCAAACCATAAGAGACTCTTAAAAACTGAGAATAAACTGAGGGTTGATGGCGGGTGGGAGGGAGGGGAAAGTGGGTGATGGGCATTGGGGGGGCATCTGTTGGGATGAGCACTGGGTGTTGTATGGAAACCAATTTGACAATAAATGTATTTAAAAAAAAAAAGAGGCACTCAATCTGCAAGACTGGCTCCAAGTTCTGCACTGGCCTCCCTGCCTCCCTCCCCCACTCCCAGTCACCTCTGTCTCACCACACTCCCATAAAACCCATTTCTTAAACCTGCAGTGGACACAGACGGGCCTGGGGCCATATCCCTGGAGGTGATGGGCTTCCTCTGCCATGGTGAGCACATGTTCAGGATTGCTAGTGACTCCTCTGTCTGGCCAGGACATATATTGCAGCTGGTACACAGATCGGCATTCCTGAAACACAGGAAAAGAGGGACAAATAATTAAAAAAAAAAAACATTTATGAGTACCTACTACATGTCAGGCTCAATTCTAAACATCTTTCATTTAAATCCAACAGATAATAACTGAGAAGATAAGTACTATTGCTAATGCCCATTTTACAGATGAGAAAATGGAGACAGAAAACAGCTCTCCCCATATGGGAGCCTCCTCCTCCCTTTTCAGTACCTTCTGAAAGGTGACCTAAAGTGCCCTGAGTATGATGTCTGTGTTCAGCCATGTCTCCCTTGTCTGAGGATGTGGGGCAGGTGGGAAGAGAAGGGAGAACAAAGACTACAGGTGCCAAAAGACATTTACAGAAAACAAAGCATTTCTGATTAAAAATCAAAGTCAAACAACATTGTTTTTAAAACGCATTCAGCCCTGGATACCGGATAAGATGGCGGCGTAGGAGGACGCTGGGCTCACCGCGCGTCCTGCTGATCACTTAGATTCCACCTACACCTGCCTAAATAACCCAGAAAACCGCCAGAGGATTAGCAGAACGGAGTCGCCGGAGCCAAGCGCAGACGAGAGGCCCACGGAAGAGGGTAGGAAGGGCGGTGAGGCGGTGCACGCTCCACGGACTGGCGGGAGGGAGCCGGGGCGGAGGGGCGGCTCGCCGGCCAAGCAGAGCCCCCAAGTCTGGCTTGCAAAAAGCGGAGGGGCCTGACGGACTGTGTTCCGACAGCAAGCGCGACTTAGCGGCTGGGAGGTCATAAGTTAACAGCTCTGCTCAGAAAGCGGGAAGGCTGGAGGACAAAGGGAAGGAAAGCTGCTGAGCCCCCGGACGACAGAGCTCAGTTTGGTGGGGAACAAAGGCGCTCGCCAGCGCCATCTCCCCCGCCCATCCCCCAGCCAAAATCCCAAAGAGAACCAGTTCCTGCCAGGGAACTTGCTCGCTCAGCGCAAACACCCAACTCTGCGCTTCTGCGGAGCCAAACCTCCGGCAGCGGATCTGACTCCCTGCTGCTGCCACAGGGCCCCTCCTGAAGAGGATCACCTAAGGAGAAGCAAGCTAAGCCTGCCCCTCCTGCCCCTGTGCACCTTGCCTACCCACCCCAGCTAAGACGCCAGATCCCCAGCACCACAAGACTGACAGTGTGCAAGTAGCCCAGACAGGCCACCCCACCCCACAGTGAATCCCGCCCCTAGGAGAGGGGAAGAGAAGGCACGCACCAGTCTGACGGTGGCCCCAGCGGTGGGCTGGGGGCAGACATCAGGTCTGACTGCGGCTCCGCCCACCAACTCCAGTTATACACCACAGCACAGGGGAAGTGCCCTGCAGGTCCTCACCACGCCAGGGACTATCCATAATGACCAAGCGGAAGAATTCCCCTCAGAAGAATCTCCAGGAAATAACAACAGCTAATGAGCTGATCAAAAAGGATTTAAATAATATAACAGAAAGTGAATTTAGAATAATAGTCATAAAATTAATCGCTGGGCTTGAAAACAGTATAGCTGACAGCAGAGAATCTCTTGCTACAGAGATCAAGGGACTAAGGAACAGTCACGAGGAGCTGAAAAACGCTTTAAATGAAATGCATAACAAAATGGAAACCACCACAGCTCGGATTGAAGAGGCAGAGGAGAGAATAGGTGAACTAGAAGATAAAGTTATGGAAAAAGAGGAAGCTGAGAAAAAGAGAGATAAAAAAATCCAGGAGTATGAGGGGAAAATCAGAGAACTAAGTGATACACTAAAAAGAAATAATATACGCATAATTGGTATCCCAGAGGAGGAAGAGAGAGGGAAAGGTGCTGAAGGGGTACTTGAAGAAATAATAGCTGAGAACTTCCCTGAACTGGGGAAGGAAAAAGGCATTGAAATCCAAGAGGCACAGAGAATTCCCTTCAGACGTAACTTGAATCGATCTTCTACACGACATATCATAATGAAACTGGCAAAATACAAGGATAAAGAGAAAATTCTGAAAGCAGCCAGGGGTAAACGTGCCCTCACATATAAAGGGAGACCTGTAAGACTCGTGACTGATCTCTCTTTTGAAACTTGGCAGGCCAGAAAGAATTGGCACGAGATTTTCAGTGTGCTAGACAGAAAAAAATATGCAGCCGAGAATCCTTTATCCAGCAAGTCTGTCATTTAGAATAGAAGGAGAGATAAAGGTCTTCCCAAACAGACAAAAACTGAAGGAATTTGTCACCACTAAACCAGCCCTACAAGAGATCCTAAGGGGGACCCTGTGAGACAAACTACCAGAGACATCACTACAAGCATAAAACATACAGACATCACAATGACTCTAAACCCATATCTTTCTATAATAACACTGAATGTAAATGGATTAAATGCGCCAACCAAAAGACATAGGGTATCAGAATGGATAAAAAAACAAGAGCCATCTATTTGCTGTCTACAAGAGACTCATTTTAGACCTGAGGACACCTTTAGATTGAGAGTGAGGGGATGGAGAACTATTTATCATGCTACTGGAAGCCAAAAGAAAGCTGGAGTAGCCATACTTATATCAGAGAAACTAGACTTTAAATTAAAGGCTGTAACAAGAGATGAAGAAGGACATTATATAATAGTGACAGGGACTATCCATCAGGAAGAGCTAACAATTATAAATGTCTATGCGCTGAATACCGGAGCACCCAAATATATAAAACAATTACTCATAAACATAAGCAACCTTATTGATAAGAATGTGGTAATTGCAGGGGACTTTAACACCCCACTTACAGAAATGGATAGATCATCTAGACACACGGTCAATAAAGAAACAAGGGCCCTGAATGAGACATTGGATCAGATGGACTTGACAGATATATTTAGAACTCTGCATCCCAAAGCAACAGAATATACTTTCTTCTCGAGTGCACATGGAACATTCTCCAAGATAGATCATATACTGGGTCACAAAACAGCCCTTCATAAGTTTACAAGAATTGAAATCATACCATGCATACTTTCAGACCACAATGCTATGAAGCTTGAAATCAACCACAGAAAAAAGTCTGGAAAACCTCCCAAAGCATGGAGGTTAAAGAACACCCTACTAACGAATGAGTGGGTCAACCAGGCAATTAGAGAAGAAATTAAAAAATATATGGAAACAAACGAAAATGAAAATACAACAATCCAAATGCTTTGGGATGCAGTGAAGGCAGTCCTGAGAGGAAAATACATTGCAATCCAGGCCTATCTCAAGAAACAAGAAAAATCCCAAATACAAAATCTAACAGCACACCTAAAGGAAATAGAAGCAGTACAGCAAAGGCAGCCTAAACCCAGCAGAAGAAGAGAAATAATAAAGATCAGAGCAGAAATAAACAATATAGAATCTAAAAAAACTGTAGAGCAGATCAACGAAACCAAGAGTTGGTTTTTTGAAAAAATAAACAAAATTGACAAACCTCTAGCCAGGCTTCTCAAAAAGAAAAGGGAGAGGACCCAAATAGATAAAATCATGAATGAAAATGGAATTATTACAACCAATCCCTCAGAGATACAAACAATTATCAGGGAATACTATGAAAAATTATATGCCAACAAATTGGACAACCTGGAAGAAATGGACAAATTCCTGAACACCCACACTCTTCCAAAACTCAATCAGGAGGAAATAGAAAGCTTGAACAGACCCATCACCAGTGAAGAAATTGAATCGGTTATCAAAAATCTCCCAACAAATAAGAGTCCAGGACCAGATGGCTTCCCAGGGGAGTTCTACCAGACGTTTAAAGCACAGATAATACCTATCCTTCTCAAGCTATTCCAAAAAATAGAAAGGGAGGGAAAACTTCCAGACTCACTCTATGAAGGCAGTATTACTTTGATTCCTAAACTAGACAGAGACCCAGTAAAAAAAGAGAACTACAGGCCAATATCCCTGATGAATATGGATGCAAAAATTCTCAATAAGATACTGGCAAATCGAATTCAACGGCATATAAAAAGAATTATTCACCATGATCAAGTGGGATTCATTCCTGGGATGCAGGGCTGGTTCAACATTCGCAAATCAATCAACGTGATACATCACATTAACAAAAAAAAAAGAGAAAAACCATATGATCCTGTCAATCGATGCAGAAAAGGCCTTTGACAAAATCCAGCACCCTTTCTTAATAAAAACCCTTGAGAAAGTCGGGATAGAAGGAACATACTTAAAGATCATAAAAGCCATTTATGAAAAGCCCACAGCTAACATCATCCTCAACGGGGAAAAACTGAGAGCTTTTCCCCTGAGATCAGGAAGACGACAGGGATGCCCACTCTCACCGCTGTTGTTTAACATAGTGCTGGAAGTTCTAGCATCAGCAATCAGACAACAAAAGGAAATCAAAGGCATCAAAATTGGCAAAGATGAAGTCAAGCTTTCGCTTTTTGCAGATGACATGATATTATACATGGAAAATCCGACAGACTCCACCAAAAGTCTGCTAGAACTGATCCATGAATTCAGCAAAGTTGCAGGATACAAAATCAATGTACAGAAATCAGTTGCATTCTTATACACTAACAATGAAGCAACAGAAAGACAAATAAAGAAACTGATCCCATTCACAATTGCACCAAGAAGCATAAAATACCTAGGAATAAATCTAACCAAAGATGTAAAGGATCTGTATGCTGAAAACTATAGAAAGCTTATGAAGGTAATTGAAGAAGATTTAAACAAAAATGGAAAGACATTCCCTGCTCATGGATTAGAAGAATAAATATTGTCAAAATGTCAATACTACCCAAAGCTATCTACACATTCAATGCAATCCCAATCAAAATTGCACCAGCATTCTTCTCGAAACTAGAAGAAGCAATCCTAAGATTCATATGGAACCACAAAAGGCCCCGAATAGCCAAAGTAATTTTGAAGAAGAAGACCAAAGCAGGAGGCATCACAATCCCAGACTTTAGCCTCTACTACAAAGCTGTAATCAGCAAGACAGCATGGTATTGGCACAAAAACAGACACATAGACCAATGGAATAGAATAGAAACCCCAGAACTAGACCCACAAACGTATGGCCAACTCATCTTTGACAAAGCAGGAAAGAACATCCAATGGAAAAAAGACAGTCTCTTTAACAAATGGTGCTGGGAGAACTGGACAGCAACATGCAGAAGGTTGAAACTAGACCACTTTCTCACACCATTCACAAAAATGAACTCAAAATGGATAAAGGACCTGAATGTGAGACAGGAAACCATCAAAACCTTAGAGGAGAAAGCAGGAAAAGACCTCTCTGACCTCAGCCGTAGCAATCTCTTACTTGACACATCCCCAAAGGCAAGGGAATTAAAAGCAAAAGTGAATTACTGGGACCTTATGAAGATAAAAAGCTTCTGCACAGCAAAGGAAACAACCAACAAAACGAAAAGGCAACCAACGGAATGGGAAAAGATATTTGCAAATGACATATCGGACAAAGGGCTAGTATCCAAAATCTATACAGAGCTCACCAAACTCCACACCCGAAAAGCAAATAACCCAGTGAAGAAATGGGCAGAAAACATGAATAGACACGTCTCTAAAGAAGACATCCGGATGGCCAACAGGCACATGAAAAGATGTTCAGCGTCGCTCCTTATCAGGGAAATACAAATCAAAACCACACTCAGGTATCACCTCACGCCAGTCAGAGTGGCCAAAATGAACAACTCAGGAGACTATAGATGCTGGAGAGGATGTGGAGAAACGGGAACCCTCTTGCACTGTTGGTGGGAATGCAAACTGGTGCAGCCACTCTGGAAAGCAGTGTGGAGGTTCCTCAGAAAATTAAAAATAGACCTACCCTATGACCCAGCAATAGCACTGCTAGGAATTTATCCAAGGGACACAGGAGTACTGATGCATAGGGGCACTTGTACCCCAATGTTCATAGCCGCACTCTCAACAATAGCCAAATTATGGAAAGAGCCTAAATGTCCATCAACTGATGAATGGATAAAGAAATTGTGGTTTATATACACTATGGAATACTACGTGGCAATGAGAAAAAATGAAATATGGCCTTTTGTAGCAACGTGGATGGAACTGGAGAGTGTGATGCTAAGTGAAATAAGCCATACAGAGAAAGACAGATACCATATGGTTTCACTCTTATGTGGATCCTGAGAAACTTAACAGGAACCCATGGGGGAGGGGAAGAAAAAAAAAAAAAAGAGGTTAGAGTGGGAGAGAGCCAAAGCATAAGAGACTGTTGAGAACTGAGAACAAACTAAGGGTTGATGGGGGGTGGGAGGGAGGAGAGGGTGGGTGATGGGTATTGAGGAGGGCACCTTTTGGGATGAGCACTGGGTGTTGTATGGAAACCAATTTGACAATAAATTTCATATATAAATAAAATAAATAAAAAATAAAAAATAAAACGCATTCAGCTAAAACATCCCCCATGGCTTTCCTGAAGGAAACATTTGATGGAGGAGGGAAAGAAGAAATATGATTAAACACCCCAGCAAGCTCATTTATAGTGAAAAAAAGAGATTTCCTCTGTTCTACAAGAGTTTTATTGCACTTCTCATGTACCAACTGTATGTATGACTTGAGGTGACAGATTTTCCTGACTTTTGAAATGTTAAGGGAAATAAGGATTTTAAGAACTTAACAAGGCACATTTGTATAACAGAGATAATCATGATCATAGTTAAAATGCAAAACGAATGCATGTATTGAGTTATGACTATTTGCATACTAATAAGTGTGAGGGGGCTGTGGGAAAACTGTTCATCCTTTCAGGCTCAGCCCTAAAGCCTTCCACCCTGAGAATCTTCTGTGAAACCTCCCTAACATTCAAGACTCCATAAAACACTGTTCCCACCTCTGCTCCAGCTTACCAGCACGGTGAAGAATAGTCCAATCTGTAGTGGTTCCTGTTCTTGGTCCCAGTAATGCTCACACTTTTTCTTCAAAAAGGTAAGGGAGAAAGGGCAAGGAATAAAGAGGGGCAGTCTGCTTTAGAGTTCTAGCTCAATACGTCCACACTCTCACAGGACACCTCAGGCATTGCTGCTGGAAGCACAGACAGCTGCAGCTATAGTGCAGGCCAGCTGGCAGAGCCTTGTCAGATTAAACACACACAGACATAGTGGTGACTTGAGCTTCTGACCATGCAGGAGGAAGACAGGCCAGAATATTCTCATACTGTAAGCAACTAAAAAAACTGGGTATGTTTTTTATGAGCCGCTATTTTCAGACATTGGACCACAGGCATTGCAGGATTGTGATCACTGAACAAAGGGAAACACATGGGTTAAATCTTATGACTACTCCAGCTTACTCCCTAGAGGCAGTCACCAGGCTGCAGGACATGGGGAGTCCAGAGATCCCACCGAGTTGAGGAGCCAGAGATTACGGCTAAGGGAGGAGAAGGCAGCTGGAATTTGAAGGGCAGAGTCCTGGAAAGAACAGAGATATGCAAACAAAAGTAAACAAACAAACCTCCAGAAGTCTGCATATGATCCCCTTGACTATTTTTAGCTGAGTAATAATCTGAGCAAATATGTCATGAAACTAGGCAAGAATAACTTCCCAAGAAAGGAGAATAACTAGGGACCTATAAGATGAACATTCCCTGCAATGTTCATAATGGGACAGAAATAATTTACATTCCTTCCAGCCTGAGTGGAGAGACCTGACTGACTATAAGGGCATTCAGTAGGGAATCAAAAAAGACCACACTTTAGGAGTAGAGTGAAATTAGTTCCAGAATAAAGGCCACTCTAGACCTGCCCTACAAAAGCTTAAAAACAAACCTTAAAATGATCAAACATCAAAAAGTAACTTAACTACCCTCCAGAAAAAGTCCAACACTCTTTAAAGGAAGACAATAAAATCCAACAGTGACCTGTGTAAAATTAAAAATGTCAAGCATCCAATAAAAATTTACTAGACACACTAGCAAACAACAAAATCCCTAACCAGGAGAAAAATCAGTGAAGACAAGATCCGGTAGGGATGAGGAAAGAATAGACCTTTAAACAATTTTTAAAAACATTTTAATTATACTTGAAGATGAAAAGGCAAACATGAACATGATGAAAGTGAAACAAAAGGTATAAAGAAGACCTAAATGGAACTTCTAGAGAGGAAAAATAAAATACATAAAATAAAAAATTCACTGTCTAATAGTAGATTAGACATAGAAGAAACAATTAAAAAAAAGACCATGACGACATAGCAATAGAAACTATTTAAAGTGGAAAAAAGAAAAAAAAAAATGACTGGGGATAAAATGAACATCAGTTAACAAAAAGAAACAAAAGTCAGCCAAACTGGCAAGGAAGAAGTCAAGCCTTCACTATTTGCAGATGACATGATACTCCATGTAGAAAGCCTGAAAGCCTCCACCAAAAATATTGCCAGAACTTATTTCAGCAAAATCACAGGATATAAAATCAATGTACAGAAAACTATTGCATTTCTATACACCAATAATGAAGCAGCAGAAAAAGAAATCAAAGAACTGATTCCATTTATAATTGTGCCAAGACCCAAAAGATACCTAGAAATAAGCCTAACCAAAGAGGTAAAACATCTGTACTCTGAAAACTATACAAGTCTTATGAAAGAAATGAAAGAGGACACAAAGACCTGGAAAAACACTCCATGCTCACAGATTGGAACAACAAACATTGTTAAAATGTCTATACCCAAGGAAATCTACATATTTAATGCAATCCCTATCAAAATACCAACAGCATTTTTTCACAGAGCTAGAACAAACAATCCTAAAATTTGTATGGAGCCACACAAGATCCCAAATAGCCAAAGCAATACTGAAACAGAAATGCAAAGCGGGAGGCACCATGATTCTGGACTTCAAGCTATATTACAAAACTATAGTAATCAAGGCAATATGGTACTGGCACAAAACAGACACAGAGATCAATGGAACAGAATAGAAAACCCAAAAATGGGCCCATAACTATATGGTCAACTGATCTTCAACAAAGCAGGAAAGAATACCCAATGGAAAAATGACAATCTCTTCAACAAATGGTGTTGGGAAAATGGGATGGCAACATGCAGAAGAATGAAACTGGACCCACAAAAATAAATTCAAAGTGGACGAAAGACCTAAATGTGAGACATGAAACCATCAAAACCATAGAGGAGAATACAGGCAGCAATTTCTTTGACCTCAGCGGGAGCAACTTCTTACCAGACAAATCACTGGAAGTAAGGGAAACTAAAGCAAAAATGGAGTATTAGTGTTTCATCAAGATAAAAAGCTTCTGCACAGTAAAGGAAACACTCAACAAAACTAAAAGGCAGCCTATGGAATGGGAGAAGTTATTTGCAAATGACATATCTGATAAAGGGTTAGTATCCAAAATCTACAAAGAACTTATCAAACTCAGCACCCAAAAAACAAGTAATCCAGCTAAAAAATGGGCAGAGGGAATGAATAGACATTTTTCCAAAGAAGACATCCAGATGGCTAACAGACACATGAAAAGATGCTCAACATCACTCATCATCAGGGAAATACAAATCAAAACCACGATGAGATGCCACCTCACACCTGTCAGAATGGCTAAAACTAACAACATGGGAAACAACAGATGTTGGTGAGGATGTGGAGAAAGAGGAACCCTCTTGTACTGTTGGTAGGGACACAAACTGGTGCAGCCACTCTGGAGAACAGGATGGAGGTTCCTCAAAAAGTTAAAAATAGAACTACCCTATGACCCAGCAATTGTGCCAGTAGGTATTTACCCAAAGGATACAAAAATACATATTCAAGGGGGTACATGCACCCCGATATTTATAGCAGCATTATCAACAGTAACCAAACTATGGAGAGAGCCCAAATGTCCATCGACTGATGAATGGATAAAGAAGTTGGGTATATGCATACAATGGAATATTATTTGGCCATCAAAAAGAATGAAATCTTGCCATTTGCAATGATATGGATGGAGCTACAGTGTATTATGCTAAGTGAAATATGTCAGACAAAGACAAATATCTTATGATTTCACTCATGTGTGGAATTTAAGAAATAAAACAGATGAACATAGGGGAAGGGGGGAAAAAGAGAGAGGGAAGCAAACCATAAGAGATTCTTAACTATAGAAAACAAACTCAGGATTGATGGAGGGAGGTGGGTGGGGGAATGGGCTAAACGGGTGATGGGTATTAAGGAGGGTACTTGTTATGATGAGCACTGTGTGTTATATGTAAGTGATGAATCACTAAATTAACTCCTGAAACCAATATTACACTATATGTTAACTAACTAGAATTTAAATTAAAATTTAAAGAAAAGAAAAAGAAATGTCTGTTTATGCCTTCTGTCCATTTTTTAATTGGATTATTTGGTTTTTTGGCTGTTGACTTGCATCAGTTCTCTATATATTTTGAATACTAACTCTTTATTGGATATGCCATTTGCAAATATCTTCTCCCATTCAGTGTAGGTTGCCCTTTAGTTTTGTTGTTGTTTCCTTTGCTGTACAGAAGGTTTTAATTTTGCCACAGCAATCAGAAAGAAAAGGAAATAAAAGGCACCCAAATTGGTAAGAAAGAAGTAAAACTTTCACTATTAGCAGATGACATAATACCCTATGATCCAGTAATCGCAGTACTTGGTATTTGAGAATATGAGAGAATATGAAAACATTAATTCAAAATGATATATGCACCCCTGTGTTTATTACAGAATTATTTACAATAGCCAAGTTATGGAAGCAGCCCAAGTGTCCATCAATAGACGAATAGATAAAGAAGATATTCAGCTATAGAAAAGAATGAAATTTTGCTATTTGCAACAACATGGATGGATCTAGAGGGTACAGTGCTAAGCGAAGTAAGTCAGAGAAAGACAAATACCATATGATTTCAGTCACATGTGGAACTTAAGAAACAAAACACATGAATGAAGAAAAAAAAGAGAGAAACCATAAAACAGACTCAAATATAGAGAACAAACTGATGATTACCAGAGGGGAGGTGGGGAAGGGGGAATGGGTAAAACGGGTAAAAGGGATTAAGAGTATGCTTATCTTGATGACCACTGAGTAATGTATAGAATTTTTGAATCACTATGTTGTACACTGTAACTAACACTGTATGCTAACTACACTGGAGTTAAAATAAAAAATTAAAAAATTAAGTGAAAGATAATCTAAAGCAAAAATAATAGCAGTGTATGGTAGAGTATTTTATATTTAGAATTAAAATCTATGGCGACAATAACGTGAAGCATGGAATGGGAAAATTGAAATATGCTAAAGTTCTTATATTTTAAATGAAATGGTATAATATTATTTGCTGTGATAAATTAGACCTAACTTGTAAACTCCAAAGCCACCACTAAGTACATAATACAAAGAGGTATAGCTAATAAGTCAATAATGACTATGAAATGAATTCATAAAAATTCTCAGTCTGAAAGAAGACAGAGAAGAAGAATGAAGGGACAAAGAACAGATGGAACAAATAGAAAACAGAAAGATGGTAGGTTTAAATTCAACATTACTGATAATTATATTAACAACTAAATACTCCAAATAAAGGCAGAAATTGTCAGACTGAATACTAAAGTAAGTCCCTACAATATGCCACCTACATGACACTTTAAAAATAATGATGGGGGTGCCTGGGTGGCTCAGTCTATTAAGCATCTGACTCTTGATATTGGCTCAGGTCATGATCTCACGTTCAGTGAGATCAAGTCCACAGTGGGGCTCTGCGCTGAGAACTCAGGGCCTCCTTGGGCTTCTCTTTCTCTCTCTTTCTGCCCCTCCCCCATACACACACACACACACACACACACACACACACACACACACACACACTCTCTCTCTCTCTCTCTCTCTCTCTCTCTCTCTCAAAATAAATAAATAAACTCAAAAAAATAAAAATAAGGATGAACATAGATTCTTTAAAAAAGTAAAAGAATGGAAAAAGATATGCACACCTGAGTAATTTAAATGGCTGTATTAATATCAAAGTACACTTCAGAAAAAGGAATATTGCCAGAGATAAAAAGAGACCTTACATATTGGAAAAGGGATTGATTCATCAGGAAGACATAATCCTAACTGTATATGTACTCAATTACAGATTTTTAAAATAACTGAAGCAGAAACTGACAGAACTGAAAAGACAAACCAGATAATTTTAAAATTAGAAAATTTCAATATTATTTCAGCAAATAATAAGGCAAGTAGACCCCCTCCGAAAAGGCCATACAAAACATAAGACTTAAATAACATTATACTAATTGTCAATTATAGAACAGCTGGAGACTTCACTCCTCTCTCAGCGATTGATAGAACATTTAGAGAAAAGTAATCAGTTAAGATTTATAAAATACAATAAAGATACAAAAATATTAAAATGTCAACAAAGACACAGTAAATTTGACTGACTTGATATTTATAGATCATTCCGCCCAACAAAAGCAGAACACACATTCTTTCTGAGTATTTACCAGAATATCTACCAATAATTAACCAATAAATACCAGAGTATTTACCAATATAGACCATATTCATAGCCATAAAACAAGTTTCAGTACATTTAGAAAGATTGAAATCATATAAAGTTGTTCCTTGACCACAGTGGAATTAACTAAAAATAACAGGAAGATATATGGGAAAATCCTCAAATATTTGGAAACTAAGAACAACTGGGGTAAAATACCACGAGTCAAAGAAGAAACCACAAGGGAAATTAGAAAATATTTTGAACTAATTGGAGAAGACACAACTTATCATGTTTGTGAGATGTAGCTAAAGCTTAAAGAAAAGTGAATAACACTAAATGCTTATACATAAAAAAAAGAAAAATTTCAAATCAATGATGTAAGTTTAAGAAATTAGGAAAATAAGAGCAAGTTAAACCTAAATAACCTTTAGGAAGGAAAAATGAAGAAGAGAAGATATTCATGAAATAGGAAATGAAAAAAAAATAAAGAAAATGAGTAAAGCCCAAAGCTGCTTCTTTGAAAAAAAATTAATACAGCTGATAAACCTCTAGCCCAGAGATGGCTAACATTTCCTATAAAGGCCCAGATAATAAATAACTACTTTACATTTGTGAGCCATTCAATCTACCCATCTTGAAACTAGTGAAATCTGCCATTGTAGTATGAAAGCAGGTATACATGATATATAAACATATGAGTGTGGCTATATTCTAACACATTTTATTTACAAGAAAAAAAAAGAAAAAGGCTGCAAGACAGACCTACTACAACAGCTAAAGTTTGCCCATCTTTACTCTAGCCAGACTGACTTAAGGAGTGACAGACGCCGACCACAAATTACCAAAGTCAGGAATGAAAAATGGACGTCACTACAGATTGTGCATACTCCATGATCAGCCATTCGCCCCGGGCAGTACTTACCCACCCCACAACCCTGTCCATGCAGGCCAGAATGCAGAATCATGTGCCTTCGATGCTGATATATGTTTACTGAGGAACTAATTTATGCTAACAGGCAAAATAGAGATCCCTGCCCTCCTGGACTTTCCTTCTTATCAGGAAGATGGAGAATAAACAATGTGTAGATTACCTTGTATGCTAGAAGTGGGAAGAACTGTGAGGCAAAAAGGAAAATAGGACAGGGAAGGAGAGTGGGAGTTCTGGGAGTTTTAAATGATGTAAGATCCAGGAAGGCCTCATGGAGGAAGTAGCCTTGAATGTTCCAGGCAGAGGGAACAGCCAACCCACAGGCTCTGAGGCAGAGCCATCCCTGACACATCTGAGGAACAGCAAAGGCCAGACTGGCTAGAGCAGAGTGAAGGAAGGAGAGGCAAAAAGACATCAGAGCTGTACCAGGGAAGCCAGAGTATAGGACCTGATGGTCTATGGTGCAGATTTGGGGTGGGAAGCCCAGCAGTAGAGGGGTTGTGAACACTGCAGGGATAAGCACCATGAATAAGACGAAAGACAGCAACAAAAAAATTAAAGAGCAATAGTGGAGTCACTCCAAGAACTGGGCCTTTCAGTAGTAGCATTAGGGAGGTGCTAGCAAGATTTCTCTTGCCTTCTCCCTGCACAAGGAAATGCATTCTAGAGAGCTGAGAACACCTACCTGCCCATTCTCCATATCTCGACATGCCTTCAGGATCACGGAGACACGAAAGATAAGGGGAGAGAGGAATGATTTGGGGACAGGAAAAACAACGCCAAGGGAGGACTCAGAATGTTAGCTCCCGGGGGGGGGGGGGGGGGGGGGGGGGGGGGGGGGGAGACTCCCAGACCGGGCGCCAGAAGTCTAGCAAGGTGTGAGGCAGGGGTCCCTGTGTGGTAATATAGGCCCGGCTTCCGTCTGCTCCCTGATAAAGGCTAAGTTCACCACCCAGATCCTGTTGTCACCCCCACCATGTCCACCCTGTCCCTGACTCCCAGCCTGACTTGGATGAAGTTGCCATTGATGTAGTGGCCGTGTCCCTCCTCCTGGAGCAGGGACAGGACCACTGGTGCCTGATCATCTGCCAGTGGGAGAGATGAGAAAAGGCACCAAGCCCCTGACAGCCTCCTGGATGAAAGCCAGCAGGGATGCTGCACACGCAGCAGGGGTCCACCTAGGTACACTCATGAGCTGCTCAGGAGAAAGGCAGCCACGGGGGTGCCTGGGTGATTCAGTTCATTATGCCTCCCGCTCTTGGTTTCAGCTCAGGTCATGGTCTCAGAGTTGGTGAATTCCAGTGGAGCCTGGAGTGGGGCTCCCACAGGTGGCAGCATGGAGCCTGCTTGGGATTTTCTCTCTCTCCCTCTCTCTCTCTCTCTCTGCCCCTCCCCTGCTCACACTGTCTCTCTCAAAATAAATAAATAAATAAATAAATAAATAAATAAATAAATAAATAAACTTAAAAGAACAAAAGAAAGAAAGGCAGCCACTGCAAGGATTGGCAAGGACCTGGGAGGGAGTGCTCTGGGAGCAAACTGGGGTGGACTGGACTGTGCTGCGGTGAGGGGTGGGTGCAGAACCCCATCTACTCCTGAAAGCCCCTGACTTACTTGGAAGCACATCTTTGTGGTGGTTTTTCCTCACATTCCCTGGCCGACTGCCAGCCTGGGTGGAATGCACAGGCTCAGTCTTCCATGTGGCTAAGCAGGCCTGGATGTCCTGGTTGGGAGGCACACCAAGCAGACCAGGGGAAGGAGAAGGAAAAGAGGAACCAGATCAAAGTCCTGGGGCACAGAGTGGCTTGTAGGGACACAAAGCACGTGGCCTGTGAGAGGCGAATGCAGACTTTTCCGGAAAGCATGGTGCCCTGCTAATGGTAGTGACCACGCGCCTTCTCTGTGCCAATGGCATTGAGTCATCGCCAGGTCTTCCCCAAGTGGGTACTATTATTGATGTCCCCACCGCGTAGGTAAGAAAGCTGAGGCACCACCACATGGTTGAGTGACTTGGCAAAAGTTCCCCCCCCCCCCCCGCCCCAGGAAGCGGCACAGTGAGGGTGGCATTCAGACCTCTCTGCATCTACACTATACACTCAATTGTATTGTATTGCAAACAATAACTATAACGTAGTATGTATTTAACAAGCATGATATATGATACATATAACAATATACACTGTATATGAATTATAACGTATAACATTACTTGTGTAACAAAATATTACAGATACCTTGTTACTGTTAGATTGTTATTAGTGGCGACTGTATTACTATCCTCCTCAGCTACTCATAATCAGACGGTGATAAGTAACACCTACCAAATGCCTACGATGCTGCATTACCGTTCCCTACGCACGGCTTGCACCTCCCCCCTGTAATGTTGAGAGTGTTTATAACTAGTGACAAAGACGCCTACAAAGTGAGCGCTCAAGATGTGCTAGGCGCTCTTTTAACCTACACCAGTTCCTCACGCCACTTTAGTCGGCAAGGGCCGCATTTCACCCGAGAAACCAATGCCAGAGGGGCCACGTGAAGCACCCGAGGCCACAGCGTCTATCAGAGCGCGGCGACCACTACCCGCCTCAGCGGGGCCTCTGCGCTCCTCTTCCCCCAGCCGTTTCCTTCCTAGAGAGGCCCTGGTGATCGGCTTCCAGCTTGATCCTGCACCTGCCTTCCCTTGCTGCGCCGTCTTCTGCTGCTGCCCAGACCGGCAGTGGGACGAGGTCACGGGAGCCCGGAGTGTGCGCGGTTCCGGAGCGGGACGCTGTCACGAGAGCCAGGAGTGTGGGCGGTTCCGGAGCGGGATGCGGTCATGGGAGGCAGGGGTGTGCGCGGTTCCGGAGCCGGACGAGGTCATGAGCCAGGGGTGTGCGCGGTTCCAGAGTCGGACGCCGTCACGGGAGGAAGGGGTGTGCGCGGTTCCGGAGCAGGACGAGGTCACGAGAATCAGGGGTGTGCGCGGCTCCGGAGCGGGACCTGGTCATGAGAGCCAGGGCCGTACGCGGTTCTGGAGCGGGACGAGGTCACGGAAGCCACGGCTGTGCGCGGTTCCGGAGCGAGACGCGGTCAGGGAAGCCAGGGCTGGGATGGGCGCGGTCCAGCCAGGCAGTTAGTGGATTCGCTTTCTGGGGCCCTGCAGGCGGAGGGCGAAGACAGAGACAGGGGAGAGAGTGACAGACCCGTGCTGGGGAGAGAACAACTTACCTCGAGGCCGGGAGACAGCCCCGGACGCCGACAGAGGGAGAGACGGAAGGAGGGCAGACCTCCAGACAGTCCAGGACTAGGAGCCGAAGCGCACCGTCTGGCGGTCCGCTCTCGCCCGCTCACGCTGAACTCGCCGGCAAGGGCCACCTCCTCCCGGCAGCCCGCCTCCAGCTGCTCCCGGACGCTCCGCTCCGCGCCACGTCCCAGCTGCGGCTCAGACGCCGCGGGCTAGCTACGTCGTGTCCGAGGACTGAGCCCCGAGCCAGTGGCCAGTATCCAGCATGCTGGAGGCGCGGCTGGCAGCGGAGGCCCCGCCTCCGACCTTGCGACCCAATGGAATCGCGCGACAGCCAGCAGGGCGCGCCCCTCGGCCAAGGCGTCCGGAGCTCGCCCTGGTAGCGCCCGCAGGCTCCGGGGCCCGTAGCAGCCAGCGCGGCGGGTCGCCTGCGGCTGTGCGGCGGGACTGAGTCCGGCGCCCGCGCCTCGCTTGGTCTGCGCGCGGGGCACGTCGGGTGACACCGCACAATCCCGCGGACGCTTCCTCTTGCTTGGAAGCCCGGGACCAACCTTCCAAGTGCCCGCGTTCGGTAGATGGCCATTCGTTCTCGCCTGGCCTCCCCCGTCGGGTCTCCCTGAGACATAGACTGGGCTCCGAGCCGGAGTGGTGCTGCAGTTGTGAGTGGACACGGTCGCCGAGATCGAGCTGCCACTCTTGCCTCGAGGACCCTGGGTTGGGGGTGTTCTTCGCCCGTGCGCTGTGGCGGGGCGCGAGAGAGGTCGCAGGAGGTTGCGGGGGGGGTGGGTGGGGGGTGACACCTGTGCACCCGTGCTGTGAGAAAGACCTAATGGAAGTGGATGCTTCTGTATCTCCGTATTTCCTGAGATTCCGTTTTCTGGGTCAGGCTAAGAGGAGCTGGGGAAGCAAACAACCAGTCTTAATTCAAGGATCTCAACCCGCATAAACCTGCCGGGAAACACAACTGACCACATAGAAGTGGGTTGGGGGCGGGGGGAGGGAGGGGAGATGTTCTCAACGCTTTCAAAGACCTTCTCCGTTTTGCTGTCCCCACACCCTCACCTTCAGAAAATAGGCAGGAAAAGGCCAAAGGACAACTTGGTGACCCAGTTCCCCGGGTCACCAAGGGGAGGCTGGAGAAAGCATCTAGGGGCCTAGGGGTCCCGCCTGGGTAGATGGGTTAGCCCACCCTTCACCGAGGTCATGGAAGGAATTTCTGGGGGTGTCACTCGAGGGGGTATCTCAGGAGTCCAGTTTGAGGTCATCAAGCTCTCAAAGGGTAACGGATAGGGTGAGGTCTTTAAGTCATTGAGGGGTTGACAGGGTCATTGGTTCAAGTTGTGGATTTAATTCATTAGGGGATTATTAGAGTGTTGTTTATGTTAGGGATGGGCATACTGTTTTAAAAGTCTTTTTGGTCTTTGGTCTTGCTGGCTCTGGTCTTGTTCTAGCTACCAACTCCACCATGGCAGTGTGAAAGCCATAGGCAACATGTAAAGGAATGAGTGTGTCTATGTGTCAATAAAACTATTTGTGGACACTGAACTTTTAATTTCATGTAGTTTTCATATGTCACAAAACATTCTTGTGTGTCTGTGTGTGTGTGTGTGTGTGTAGCCTCAGGCTGTGGTTTGCTAACCCAGGTTTAAGTGACAGAAGTCAAAGTGGATGATCAGTGGGGATGTTTCATTTATTGAGGGATTACTGTGGGCTCAGTATTTATCAGTTTCATCTCTAAGACTTCAAAGATGGTCAGTAGTGATCACTGAGGATGGGCATTGATAGTGAATTAATTGGAAGTCAGTTGAGAGTTCCTTGGGTGTTCATGGGGCATCGTTAGTGGATGTTACTAGCAGTCGTTGGAGGTCAGTGAGACACAGTGAAAGTAGCTGAGGGGCTGTTGGGATTGGGAGTGGTAGTTTAAGTAACTGAGAGGTCAAAAGAGGGAAGGTCACTGAGGGATCCTACTCAGGGCACAACAGTGAATGCCAATGAAATCACTGAGATTTCCTGGACAGTTATTGGTTTTTGGAGACTCAGGGAAGTGAGACACAGAAGTATCAGGAACTTTGAGAATATATGGATGTTCAATGGAGGACTCATGGACACTCTTGAATCCCCGAGTACTCATGGATGCTAATGGTAGTTATTAGGGACTAGCGTATACCGGAGTAAACGAGGAAGAGTCACTGTGGGATCATGAAGGGTCTTTTGTGGACCGTGGTGTTAGTGGATATCATTAGAGGTCAAAGGTCACTGGAAACTGGTGGTACCTGAGGAGTAGGCGCAACACTGAGGGGTCATTGGGCCATCCATATCATCTATGATGGTGACTGGGAGGCAGGGAGGCTGACCCAGAAGCTGGGTTCTGGCTAGCTGGAGATCTTCTGTCTGACTAGTGACTGAGGGTCTGTTTGTCCAGCGTGTGTGCGGGGGTGTATCTGTCTACCTGACTTGACAGTTGTCTGTCCATCCAGCTGGCTTGGTGGGGATGTATCTTTTATCCTGCTGAGGGCCTGACTTTTTCATAGGCTGGAGTCTGTCTTTACTGGCAGAACTTAAGACTGTAGAAGGTAAAGCTGAGGTTTGGCTGGCTAGTTGATTGGGTAGGTGGGTATCTCTCTGCTGGGGTAGTGTCTGTTTGTCCGTTTGTGGGGAAGGTGTCTGTCCTTGAGGGATATTTTCTTTCGGTTGGCTGTGGTCATCTTCCAAATGGCTGGAGCTGGGGGTGTCCATGTGTCTGACCACAGGTCTTTCTGGATGTCTGGCTGGGTGTCTTCCCGTTTGTTCAAGAATATGTCCATTTGTCTGGCTGTCTGTCCCTCTGGAGTCTGTTTGTTTCCCTGGGATTTTGTCCATCTAGAAGTCTGTCTGTCTATCCAGGGGTCTGTATGTTTGTCCGTTTGGGGATCTTTCTATGTGGCTTGAAATCTTATGGCTTCTGAATAGAAGTGGCTGAGACTTCCAGCTGGGTTGGCTGTCGGTCTTTTTGGCTGCACTTTCACCCCCACTCCATGCCCCCCTGTCACTGTTGAACTTGCCTGGCTTCCCGACCGTCTCTTCCTGTCTCTCCAAACATCCAAATGCTCCTGGCTTGCCAGCTGCTCAGCTCAGGCTGGGTGTGGAGGGTGGGAAGACCCCCGAGAGCTCCTCCGGTAGCCTAGCCGCACCTCTCTCTTCCCCCAGAGAATTGCACACGCTGTTCTTACAGTGGGATTTACTGCTGCTAGTGGCCCTTTTGTTCACGCTACTGGTCACAGTCCCATGCAGTGGGAGCAGATGGCATGCCTCTGAAGGTCCCGAGTGTTGTGACGCCCACATGCCACATGCGGGTCTGCCTGTTTGCCAGCTCAGAGTGCTCACTGACTGGCCACTCAGCAGGGCCAAGTGGACTGGTTGCTGGAGGGTGCCTGCAGAAGTTTTCCTAAGGCTGTGAGGAACCCAGGCTGAGCTGATGTTGCAAAGGGGAAAATGGTAACTTTACAATGGAGAAACATAGTGGATATCGCCTTAACGCTGGCAGTTTGGTGGCAGATGCAGAGACTATTGATAATACTACTTTACAGTTCTTCTCTGGCCCCCTTTTGATAGGCAAAAAAAAAAAAGGGCAGAAAACGTTGAAAAAATTCTCCCACTGCTCTTGTTAAAAACCTGTAGGGGCGCCTGGGTGGCTCAGTCGGTTAAGCGGCCAACTTTGGCTCAGGTCATGATCTGGCGGTCCATGAGTTCGAGCCCCGTGTCGGGCTCTGTGCTGACAGCTCAGAGCCTGGAGCCTGTTTCAGATTCTGTGTCTCCCTCTCTCTGACCCTCCTCCGTTCATGCTTTGTCTCTCTCTGTCTCAAAAATAAATAAACATTAAAAAAAATTTAAAAAAAAAAAACAAAAAACAAAAAACCTGCAGGCTGGGTGGGCTGACCTGTTGGTCTAGCCACAGTGTGGCATTTAGCAAACAGGAAAAATGACACTGTCTCCAATGGGAGGGGCAGCTTGTGCCCACCAGTGACTGTAGCTAAGTACCTTTGGAAGGGCTTTTGTTAGTCTCCTTGAACTTTCCTCAGCGGTTTTGGATTTCATTGTTCTGAATTGAGGATCTCTCCTGGTCCCTTTATGGGGCAAAGAGCAGCAGCTCAGAGCTGAGGAAACACAGCCCAGGGAGAAAGCCACCTTATCCTTTCTCAGTCCTGCTGCCAAACCACATGATCTCTCTGTGGAGGGCTTGTTTTTGTCCTCGGAACTGCCCTGCTGTTCTGCTTTAGAGAGGGAGGGGGGAAGCCCTCTTCCTCATCTTTAAAAACGACATCCTTAAAATGTTTATACCAACTTTCCCAGGCCAGCCCCACTTCTTCCAGGACAGAGCCTGGTTATCTCCATCACCTAGAGTGATCTCCAGATGCTAGTGCATGTCTGTGGAGGAAATAAACTCAGCTCCGCGCCCTCTGCGCTGACAGCTCTGGCTCCTGTGAGCTCTAGGCAAACAAGTGCTTCCAACAATGATGCTGCAGCATCCCGGGGCCTCTGCATCCTTGGCGTTCACTTTCTATACACAGTTTTAGCCCGGTGCACACACACCTCTGTATGTGGCACTTTATTTTGAAAAGACCAACTGGCCACATTCTGTTAATCTTAGTCTGGCTGGGGTCCTGCATAGCTAAGGGCTCTTTGGTTGCTGAGTGCAGAACCCATGGCATCACAACCAAAGGGAGGTATGGGTCTGTCTCCACCGGCTTCTGCCACTCAGTTATAAAACTAGAGAGAAGCTAATTGTACATCTATGTCTGGGTAAGTATTACATCTCTGGAAGGATTCCTGTAAGGAGACCAAGAGCAAGGGCAGGGGCATCTCATGCTGCTGCTGCTGTTGCTGGGTGTTTTGCGTTCCTAGCCGATGCACTCTGGCAAGTAGAAAAAAAGGAGGGGTCTGTCAAAAATGCTGTAACTGGCATATGGCATATGGCATAATCAGCTAGAATGTTCTAGAAAATCTTATGAAAAACCAAAAGGGCTTATAAGAAAGTGTAATAAAGTATCTGGTTGAAATATAATACACACACATATCACACATATGCACACAGAAATCACTTCCCTACATACTAGCAAAAAATGAACTTGAAATTATGATGCAAGAAAGATTTCATATTTACTGAAAAATAGCCACCAGGTTTGAAATCTCTAGTGAATTAATAAAGCTAGGCAATGATATTAATGTCTGCTAACATCAAAAAAAGACACACGTTATCAGCCTCCTGGTAAAAGAACACAAGCATTCCTGCCAACAAGATTTAAACCTGTATCTGACCGAACCTTTAGATCTAGATGTTAATGCAAAGGAAATATAAAGGCATAGGAAAATATTAAGTGACACAGCAGGAACAAGATCAGACTGTGGAAACTCTACAAGACAAATAAACCAGTGTCCTAATTGAATAATTGAATATATTTCAAAGAAAAGATTAAAAACAGGGAATCCTATAGGTTACTAGAGACTTAGGATGTATACACAAGTATTTATGGCGGCACTATTCATAATAGCTCCAAAGGAGAAACCACCCAAATTTCATAAAGTGATAAATGTGGCATACACATA